ATATCACCGGCAAGAATAGTTGTTGACAACTTGAGGTCAGTATCCGAAAAGGAAAAAAAAATAATCATTGTTTATTAATATAAATTCTTGATTGTGAACAGCATTAAACATTACGATTTCATGGATTTAATTTTCTGGTGAAAATTCACGAAAATATGTATCAATATAATTTAGCAATTACTAAATTAAACTTTTTTGTAGATGAAATTTTATTTTCATGTCAGTAACAGTAAGCATGAGCCTAAATATATTTCCATCGTTATGCCTTAAACTCTTTAGAAATGGAAAAAAAAATTATGAAATAGATTAGAGTGAAGAAAAATATGAATGGAACATATATGATGCTAAATCTATATTTGGCTAAAATTCATTGCATTTAAAAGAGAAAATAACTTCTAAAACATTATCTTATTTAAAAAAAATTATAACTAGAGTATTTTTTTCAGTTTCAAAACTTAAAAATGCCAATCACGAAGCCGTTGCAAATTCCATGAAGCAATGAGACGTGACATAATTGTCAAAATCATCCGATAGTTTTCTTACTTTAATGAAAAACGCATCCGTCTCTGAACAACTTTAATGACAGTTTTATCGTTTCCCAAATATTTTATTCTTGCCATTTATATGGTTAATAGATACAAAAATATGTAACTAAACTTAAATTTAAACTTATTTTTCTTATACATGATTGTATAAATATTATTTTATTGCCTTAAATATAATTATTAATCCCTATAATTTCGTTTTGTTTTATCAAATGTTTACATTTAATAGGTTTTATTGATTTTTGCAAAGAAAATGCATTTCTTGAACGCCAATGAAGCTTAAAACAGTTTTATATTTTTTTATTGAATTGTAAATTCGACTGTCTGTAACGTAAGGAACAATATGTTCGTGAAAAATTTCGTCCAGAAATTGTATTATTATTTATATACCAAAACTAATTTTCTAATTTCATTTACTATTACATCTGATTTTTCTTTCATTTTACTAAATGACAATGATTTACACAAATTTTAAGAATTTTTGTTGTACATATGTCTATTTTTGGTATTGTGATAATAAAAAAAAATCAGTCATATTTTTTTTTAGCTTTAAAATTTTATTGTTTATTTATTTTTGTATTCTTTTTTTATGTTTATTTACTGAAAACACAGATAAATTTCCATGCGCATTAAAATCAAATTTAGCTTAGTAGGAAGAATGTATCGTTTAAAAAAGCTCGCTTTTAGTTTGAAATCCTCACTAATTTTTTCAAATAATTGTAATTTTGTCAATTTTATTCGATGTTTAGCACAATTAATACAGTTTGTGCAAGTATTGAATGAATTCACAAACAAAAATGTGGAATTTACATAGTATTTAGTATTAAACCAAGTACAAAATGTATTTAGTTTACCTAGACACAAAAAATGGAGGCAATTATATTCTAGACTTTTTCACACTGTATGTGCATATTCTGATACATTTTATACCAATGCTCATAAACAAACATTGATATCATTGAACATTACATTGATATATTACAATATGATATTGATTGATTACATTAATTTATTGAAACCATAAAAATAATTTTTTTTAATCAAAGAAATTGTAAATTTAAAAGATTTCTGAAGGAGCACTATGCTTTTTCAGTTTTATGAATGATGAATAACAACAACATAAATACTTTCTACTGTTAACAAAAGTTAACAACTATCAGTTAAGGGAATCAAAAGATTTAAAACTAGATATTCCTTAAAAATGCGAAACATATAATGTGTTTAAGAAACATATAATGAGATACGGTTTAAGTTATACGGTTCAAGTTATGTGCAGATAACAGAAATAGGTAACCTACGCATATTGTTCATTTAGAAGGTTATAGAAAAAACGCTAATAATACTAAAGGCTACTTTAAATTTCTATCGAATAACACTGCAATCTGTATATTTTCAGTACAGGATTTTAATTTTGAAATTGAGCTTTACAATGTATGGAAAAGTATCTAAAAAAATTATGTAACTTAAACATATTTAATTAATAATCTGAGTAATGGTTTTAAAATATGGTGCTGATTTTTAACGAATTTTCTAATCAAATTATAGCAAAAAAAATCAATACAAAATTTCTATTTTTGTATTTAACAAGGTATAGCTGTTAAACAACGAAACTTTTTTCTCTTTACCTTAATTCCAACTTCTAACGAGATAAAGCTAATCAATAAAGAGATGGGATTTTTGTTTGACTTCCGTGTCAACTTAAAGTAAAGTAATGGTATATATTATAGTTTATTGTTATCCTGCAAGTCATACATAATGTTTTCAAATGTATGAAGTCTGTCTTTATTATTTATTGAGTCAGAAAAATACTATTTAACTTTGTCGAAATCTTCTTATTTCTAATGAATAATTTAAAAGTTTTCGTGGATCTCAGAAAAACTGCTACAATAATAAAATAAGAAATATGTCATTTATTGTGAAAGTGGTGTAACTCCTGAATTTTTTTAATTTACGTAATTTTTAATGTTTTTTTATTAATAATAATAATGAATAAAGTCACATCTTTGATTATAAAAGCAGAAGAAATCAAATATATGTATTAAAATGTCACTGACACAGACAACTGACTGAAAAAATACCTCTGACTGTCTACCTGTATTTTTTTTCAAACAAAAGCTTTGCAAAAAGCTAGTATTTCAAATGTCATTTACAAAGAGATGTTTAATTTTTACAATGAACAAAACCAAATAGCCAAAAAATTTCAAGGGTCAATGTCATAAACTTTTATCAAAATAAAGTATGGATTATTAATGGGTATTAAAATAGTTGATGTAATTAATTTAATACTCATCAGTTGATTTATGTAATTAATTATATATGAATATAAAATCGCATTTCGGAATCAATTTGAAAAAATTTATATGTTTGTATCTTGATCTAGACAAACTTTTCAGATTCAGAATGAAAATACTTCTCGAATCTTTCCTAGAATATTAACCAATTCATGAACGAATATTTTTCCTCAATGCAACTCACTAGCACACAGAGCTAGTCTACTAGTTTCTATATCATCATAGCAATCGTTAAAGTTTTATAATTATTCACCAGACCATTCACCATTCGAGTTATCTCTATTTTTAAATAAGTTATATAATCATTGATAAACTGTGTATCACTTTGATAAGCTATGCATCAAAAATTTGATAAAAAGGGGAAAGTTAGGAGGAAAATATTGGATGCGATATCCAGTTTATAAGTTCAATAGCCATTCATCTTAGTTTCCGAAATAAAAACAAAATATGAATCTAATTTGCTCTCAAATAAGTTTAGGAATTTTATTACTATTGAAGTATTTTTACTAAATTTATATAAGTTATCAATACTAAAGAAAAGAGTTTTTTTGCACTAGAATTTATCTTAATGGATTTTGCAGATAGCTTATATTTTCTTTAAATATTTCAAGAACAGTTATAATCGTGATGCAACATTAATTGCATCCCATATCCCTCTTTAAAGAAGGAAAACTAACTGTTGCTTACGAAGGGAATAAATCTGATTAATAGTCTGAAAAGCAAAATTAATGGATTTTACTGATAGCTTATTTTTTCTTTAAATATTTCAAGAGCAGTTATTATCGTGATGCACCATTAATTCCATCCCATATCCTTGTTAAAAAAAGAAAACTAACTGTTGGTTACGAAGGGAATAAATCTGATTAATAGTCTGAAAAGCAAAATTAATGGATTTTACAGATAGCTTATTTTTTCTTAAAATATTTCAAGAACAGTTATAATCGTGATGCAACATTAATTGCATCCCATATCCCTGTTAAAAAAAGGAAAACTAACTGATGCCTACAAAGGGAATAAATCTGATTAATAGTCTGAAAAGCAAAATTAATGGATTTTACACATAGCTTATTTTTTCTTTAAATATTTCAAGAACAGTTATAATCGTGATGCAACATTAATTGCATCCCATATCCCTGTTAAAAAAAGGAAAACTAACTGTTGCTTACAAAGGGAATAAATCTGATTAATAGTCTGAAAAGCAAAATTATTGGATTTTACACATAGCTTATTTTTTCTTTAAATATTTCAAGAATAGTTATAATGGTGATGCAACATTAATTGCATCCCATATCCCTGTTAAAAAAAGGAAAAGTAACTGTTTGCTTACGAAGGGAATAAATCTGCTTAATAGTCTGATAAGTAAAATATTTTATTAAATAATCTAAATTAAATTGAAATTTTTTTATTGTATTAAGTTTACAAAAATATTTATTTTTGTCTTTTTTCAAAATAATATTATCTAATGAGTTCGAAGAAAATATTATATATGATTGAGTATTATTAAAGCTTAAATAATTTTTGTTATTTTGTAGCTTGGTATATTTTGAACATAAAATTTAGCTACGTACTGTTTCAGTAAATAAATTTCAATTACAACTAATTAAATAGTGTATCCACTACTTAAGTATAATTAAGAATAAAATATAAAGTTTTTATAATTAAGTTAGAAATTGTTAAACATCCTAAATTACATAGTTTAAATGTTTTTAAATTAAATTTAACACTAATCTAAAATCTTTATTCATAGCAATTAATTATTCATAGCAAACAAATTTTTATATTTGTTTCAAATATTACAGAATGAAACTTAGAGCAAAAGAATGTGAATAAGTATGATACATTTTAAAATAACGTTCAGTCAATTTTTCACAAATGAGTTTTCTAACATTTAGTTAAAAAAAAATTTAAGTGAAATTTTTTTTATTTATTTGTCAATTTTTATACAATACGCAGCTTGTCAAATAAATCAACAAACACTATTTCTGAGACTCTTCAAGGATAAATAAGTACAACTATTATAAAAAATAAACTTTAATATACCAAAATTCCAAAAATTTTGAGCCTTTCTCTACGAAGAAATGCTTCAAGTTATCTTGGAGTTCGATATTAAAAACTAAACTAATACTTTCTCATATTAAATCTTCCTCTCTTTGTTTTTTCTTAGCTAGTCCAAAATGGGTGAAAAAGCCAAAGGATCAAGAGGTTATTGTAAATCAAAAGGTTGTATTTGCCTGTCAAGCTGAAGGAATCCCAGAACCAATACATCGTTGGAAATACCGACCCGGTTAGTATTTCTTTGTTTGTCAAAAGGAAATAATCCTTTCTTTTTTTTTTAACTTTCAATATCGTTTTCTTTACGTTTGCGAACAAACCCTCCCAGATTTCTTTTGAGCTACGAAATATTTTTCTTTGTGTTTTCACTTGATGTTATTGAATCTTTTATGCTCACGGGGAATTCCTGATACTGTCGATGACAGATAAGTGATTCTCTGAATGTTAATATATTTTTTTTCAATTTAAGAAAGAGCCGTAAAAATAGAAACTTGTCATTTCCAGGCTAATGCCATGGAGCTGTCAGTTAGAGTGTATAATCCTATAGGTGTAAATATAGGTGCATGGAAAAAATTCAATTCAATGATTTAAAATATGTAATTTAAAGAAAAATTTATTTATTAGTGCATATTTTAAGTTTGAAATATACATTTTAATCTCCATTATAAGCAGTAAATTAAGTGAAAAGTCTACTTGTATACATGGATTCGGGATTCATACGTGGCCCGATAGCCTATTTTCAGATACTTTAAGATTGTAGTAGTATTCATATTATGTCTTAAATATTTTATTTTTATGTTCACCTTCTTAATTTCCTTGGCCTAAATATAAGGCTTGTACACACCTTTACACCTTTGAAAAAAAATTTAAAAATTCTTAACACGCTAGAAATGCTCTACATTGTAAAAAATTTCAGATCAAATTACTGTATTAAGTAACGGCTTTTTGGGGGATTTATTCGTGAAATCTGTTTAAAAAATATAGGTAAATGATAAATCAAAACAACAATTTCGAATAATTTAAAGAAAAAAAATTGTTGGATTGAAAATTTGAAATACCCATTTTAAATTTATACCGGACAGTAAATTATATATAAAATCTATATGCACACTGTAAGAAATCCAGAATCAAATTTTGTTAATAATAACCGGCTGTCAAGATGCTGAGGCTTTTTACATTCCTTTTATACTGTAACATGTTAGGGTATCAAAATTATGATATACCGTAATTTTTTCACTAAAAATTAAAAAAATCACTCTAATTAAATAAAAATTATTGTGAAACATGTGGTATAATGTTTTATGATAAAATCGAATTTTACGGTAAAAATGAATTTTACGGATGAGGCACTCAAAATGCCGGTAAATTTATATCATGATATGAAGCAGAATTCTCTACAGTGTATGGAGAGATTCAGGGTTCATATATGACCTGATATCCTATTAGGAGATAACTTTAGATTGTAGTAAATTTCTAATTGTTTCTTAAATTATTTTAATTTTACCTTAACAATTTCCTTGAATTAAACTTATAGCCTGTAAACATCCTTGAAACGAACAAAAAAATCTTACCCCTCTAAACATACTCTGCACTGTTAAAATTTCCATTCTAAAATTATGGTAAAATTACTGGCAGTTATCTGTCCATCCGATTGACCGTAAAGTTTAAGGTAAAGAACATTTTTTCCATTATGGTTTTGAAACCATTTGCGAAAAGTATGGTAATGACACCATGAATACGAAACTATACGGTTTTTTAACCATTTACTATTAGCATTTTTTAAAAACGTAAAAAAACATATCATTCAACTAGACATAGGAGCTCGGCTTTTCGTTAGGTAATGGGCATTGGAGAATGCCGGACACTGGAAATTCTTCATATATCGAAAGGAATGGAGGAAATATTGTGGTGTCAATACAAGAGCTTGAACTCCAGTTCTGCCTGTTATGAGATTGACGCATAAGCCTTCTCGGCTATGATATGTCCGTTGTTGCAAAGAGCTAAGTAGCTTCATTTGGTGGTTCTAGTTGGTGCGATAAAATTCGGGTTGTTTAGGTGAAAGCAGTTAATAAACAGTTTTTCTCAAACTCAACAGTTTGATTACTATTTTATTTATGGTGATTTGACAGTTTTGATTAAATATCGTAGAATAACCATTCAATAAATAGTTATTTAACCATTTTTTCTGAGAAATTTTTAACAGTGTAAGTCTGACTTTATTTTTTACGGAATTTTGTAATTTTTTGTCTCTTTACTTTTTCCTCTTTGCTTAAAATCCATTTTTACCGCACAATAATTTAAAACTTTCTTAAAAGCCTAAGTTAAACTAAATGATGGCAAGAATTATCTCTATTTATTATTTGTGAAAATAATTTTTATGTTAATTATTTTTACTAATTTGTAAAAAAAATGCTATTTATTCAAACCTAAAAACTAAATGATGACAAGAATTATTAGAATTATTTATATTTATTATTTAAGATAATTATTTTTATGTTAATTATTTTTACTAATTTGTAAAGGAAAATGTTATTTATTCGAAATATAAAAAAATAATTAAATTACTTATTTAAAAAACGGTTAAATAATAGCCTACACAGTAAAAAAAAATTACAAATCAAATTACTGCATTAATCTTCGGGTGCTTTGAGTGCATCATCCGTTAAGTCCTCTTTACCGTAAAATTCAATTTTACCACAAAATACTATATCTTAAATTTTACAGTGATATTTACTTAACTAGATTTTTCAGTTATTTTACTGTCAATTTTACTCTAAAAAATTATGGTATATCAGAATATTCGTTCTGTAACGTATATTGCTGAAAATTTATTGTACAATAAAAATTACCAGCGCTCTGAGAACCGGTACTTTTAACCATAATTTGATCTGGAATATTTTACAGTGTATGACTGTGAGAAATATTTTGAAAAATATTTGTTTATTGCTTTTCACATTCTATTTTCTGAATAACATCGCCTGCAGCATTTTAAAGAAAGACATTACGCATCAGGACAAACATATGAATAGATTTTTTATACTAGTCAAAACCCTGCTAATTCCCTAGAAAAGCCATTAACATTTTTTATTTAGAAAAAAATAAGTAAAAAAATCGAAAATACGTTAGTAAGCAAATCTTTTTTTTTTCTATCCTAAACTCGTTTCCTTCGCAATTGTAACTTTAATTACTCAACATTCTTTGCTTTAAAAACCGTAATTCATCTCGTAATTTATGGTTTTTCTGCCGAATTATGATCTTGCACGCGGTTTCCTGAGAAAAAAGTTTCCGTAATTCGCTTTTTTCCCCGGCTTTAACGACAAAAAATAAAATTTCCATCTGGCGTAAAAATATTTATAAATGCACTGAATGTTTTTAAAAGATTTTCAAAAGCTTTGGACTTCTTCCTTACTCTGTGGAATTTTTTAATTACAACTTGAAAGAGAAGATGATGAAAGCATTTTCTCAAGTAATTAAAGTGCGTGTGTTTCATTAAAAGATGTTAAAAGATAGATAGTGTTGCTTTCTAATAAAGAAACGCAACAGAGTTTTTTTTTTTTTTTTTAAGTATGTGTATGATTTTCCTGAAGAAGCGAAATATTGCTTATTGTTTTGCAGTCAGGCGTAAGAGTTCCAAAAAAACTATGGTAACTTTTTGGAAAAAAAAAATAACTTGTTAAAATGCTAAAATGTTTCAAAATGAATTAAATTTAAAAAGAAGTAAATTTATTTAAAATTAAAAAAGAAAGGTTTGTTTTCTTTTTGCATTTCTGGCTTTAAGCAACTTGCATAAAATTAATTAATTGTAGATTTTGACCATAGTTTTTTCCAATGCCGGCACGATTGACAATCATCATTCGAGTATCAGTAGGGCAGATTTGTTGGCCACTCTTTCAGGGACACCATGTTAAGTTGCTCCCACAGTAAGGATAGATGGTACAGAGAATTAAAGAATGCCTTGTCCGGGATTCCAGTCCAGAAACCATCTGATGTCAGGTTAGCTTCTTAACAGCTACAAAGTCCGATCTGCTGATTCAAAAACTTCAGCAACAAATTATACATTTTGTGAACTTTAATCATTTAACGATAAAAGCCATGCTAGGCTGAAATTTCTCCATCAAAATGTCGGTCAGAAAATCTTTTCGTAAGTGTGATGCAAAATAATTCCGAATTTTAAGTCTTGTTTCATTTTTTAAAGACAATCGTACATCTAAACGATATTTTGTTTACTAATTTCTCTCAAGATAATTCAATACCGAAATTTTTTGTTTCCATCCTATTTTTTTGTACTTTTCACTCACACAGAGAAAAAAAATTATTAAAGCTACAAAAATATGTTAACTTTTTCTGGCTTCATGGGTTTTTTAGTGTTCCCATGGAGCCGAGAGCTCCATGGTAATGCGTTCGGTTGGATTAACCATAAACTATAATGTTATAATATGTGATAAAAATTAGTAAAAGTGCAAGATTTGATAATTTTATATAGGTTTTTTAGAGCGTGGCATAAAAATTGCTTATTTGTTCAATTTACTTCTCACTTTCGTATTTTTTTGCTTCTGATTTAATAAAAAGAACTGTAATTTTGAAAACCTAAATGTCCAGTAAACCGTTACCATAATAAATGGATTATTTAAATACCATGCACTTTGGCTTTGTTACCAGAAATATTTTTTTTACCAGAAATATCAGTGCCATACCGTACGGTAATTGTACCAGATTTTTTTTCTCCGTGCATCATTCTGCGTTTTTTGGTCTGTTTGAACTCCATATGACTTGATCCATCCAACTTGATATGAACTCCATCTATAGGATTCATTGTCCGCTTGCTAGTTTTAAGCACGGTGTTTTGAAGTTTTGTCACTATCATGATATTTTGTATACAGTGGTAGCATTGCACAAGAGTTCATATGCACGGAATATTGAGCAAGATTACATCTTTTGACATTTTTTTCGCAAGATTACATTGTTTGAGCAAGATTACATCTAAAAGCTCATAAATTACAATTAGAGTAAAGATGATTTTTTGTCCACTAGTTTAAATGATTTAAATGATTTTCAGTTCATCATAAGAACTGCAACTAAAGTTAAAGGGATTTTTTTGTGATTCACAAATTAAGCATTCTTAATTATATAGGTAGGAAAAATCTATGTTCCGTCAAAAGAAATATTTTTCATACCGCAAAAAAAATTTCACGTTATTTTTGCTAAGAGTATCATTTCAAAATAGTTTTCATT